AAAAAAAAAAAAAAGGTATTATTCTTTAGTAACAGATTGAAATTATCTTCAAATCAAGTTCAAATTTGCATGACAAATGTGACTAAAATATGATGGTAGAAGAATCAAGCTAGTTAACCAAAACATTTTGTACAATATGGGTAAAATTGACTAAAATTAAACATTGGAAAGGATAAATTTGACTAAAATAATTTATTCATAAATAAAAATAACCAAACTTTAAAAATAAAGAGATGTTTTAGTGACAACCAACAATTTTAGTGGTCTAATAATAATTTCCTTTTTATAGCAATAAAAAGGTTTAGATTTAAATTGTAAGTATAAAAGTAAAATGAGTTAATTATAAAAAAAAATGATAAAATGTTGCTTCCTATTTACTCTCTATTTTAAAATAATTGTCTTTAAACTGATTTTTGTTTTTCAAGTTAAATAAATATTTTTATTTTTTAAATTTATCATTATTTATTTATTTTAATTAATTGTATTATCAAAAAATTATTTTTTATCTTTTAACTTTTTTAAGAAAATAATATAAATAATTTTAAAATTTTAAAAATAATAATTATTTTAATACAAAAAAGTATTAATCTAAAAACATTAAAAAAATATATCTTTATTGTTGATGTATTTAAGGAATGGACTATTCAGCGATGTTTGTCCATTCCTTATATTTCTTTTCATCCGCAGTTAACCATTAAAATGAGGTAACTTGCCCATAAAAAATATCGATGCAATTTGAATCCATTGTTTGCTGTTCAAACAAGTTTAATGTGGGGTGCAATACTTAAAATTCAACATTATACTTAACGAAAAAAGATAAAAATAAAAATTCAGAGACCATACTAGTTATGTTGATCAAACCAACAAGAAAAATGGAAATTGTACTAATAGTAAGTAACGTTATCCCTGGTAACGATAGAACTGATATATTATTATTTTTTTTAAAAACTTATTTATAAGAGGTGGGATTGAATCCAGATTTAAAGAGGAGGAGAGAGTGCATCCTCTTTTAATATGATTAATGTTACTAAATTCAAAGGATCAAATGTAAATAATTAATATACTATTTATCTTTCTTTTTAAAGAAAATTAATATATTATATTCATCCTTTCTCTTTCCAAAAATTTGATTATTCATCCTTCATTGAAACTTAAACAAATAATTGTACTTAAAATATCAATTGTGGGCCTTCTCACTCTTACGTTGACATTAGTGTCCATTATAAAAAAAAATATATTTATACAACGGACAGGTCAGGTCAACCTGTCCCTAGGCCCAATAGATTTAAATAACATGATTTTTAAAACTTTTTTTACAGTATATTATTTTTGTTTGTGCAACCAAAACACTGGAGTCTCTACAGGGACCTTTGAAACAGACTGGTCTGCACTCTGCAGTATTATTTTTTCTTTAGGCTAGCTAGTAAGCCACACTGTATAGTATCCTCCTCAGAAATAGACTGGAAGAGCTGGTAAGAGCATGAAAATTGCTTTAGCAGTTAATAAGAATCATCGAAAATCTTGTTGGTTGAATATTCAACTATTTGTCGTTTTTTATGAGAGTTTAGTCAAATTGACATTAATTTTTTTCAAAAACTTAGTACCGGTGTTTTAATTATTGCATTTAAGAAAATTTAGAATTTAATAAGTAG